GGAGTGTGAACGAAATGCACAACTACATTTTGTGTTATTTTACCATTTCCCAGTTTTAATTAAATGATCCAACTTTTATAGAACTTGCTAATACACCTTATTACATTTTTTGTAAAGGAGAGGCTCTCAAAGCTGTCTAGTTTGGAAGACTTTTAATTCATAGTTAAACAAAAAGACCTAATTATTGAAAACTTGAAGCAGTTATTCGTGACTATTATCATATTTGACTGTGATTATTGAATTATTATTTGCAGTTACGGTTCCAAAGTTTAAATGAACAAAATTAATAAATTTAACCACAATAACGAAAAAATGGTCACAGTTTGACCTGATCTGGGTAACACTTAAGGGCTCATAATTTTCAAACTACGAGAGATATTTTCTTAAGTTTTTTTTCAAGATACTTACATCTATCACGGCTTGGTGTTGGCATTGTATACACACATAAATTTGTGCTAAATTGAAATAATTTAATAAATTTCCCAAAAATAATTAAAAAATTGTGAACTATGCATTTTTTCACAAAACATTTATACTTGAATTTACTAACTGCGTAAAATTAAGGTTTAAGGTAAAATAAGGTTTTTTAATATCTTAGCCAAAAATTTTAAAAAATATTTTGCTAATAACCGAAATTAATTATTGATTTGATTGATTTCGAAATCAATAATTTGGAAATTTTAACTGTATGTATAATTATTTTGTAGGTAGAATTATAACATGTTATGTTGTGGTATGATTACATTGCCTAAAATGAATTCTACTGTGATATATATAATCTCTAAAAATCAAGTTAGGCAACGAATAATTAATTATATAATAAATTAAATATGCATATTCAATCAACTCAATCTACTTGTGCATATGAGAGAGTGGGTTTGCTTCTTCTTCAGGCGCTAAGAGTTGAGATAACAAGACAGTAAAAAGCTATATCAAATATTTTAGATTAACAACAACTGAATATTGTATACTGATTCGTTATAACAACAAGAAATTTACAATGAAAGCAAACTTTACATAGGTTTTACTATTTGCTGAGCATTATAATTGATTCCCCTATTAACGTATTATTTATACCTTTTGAATCAAACTCCATTTTGTGCATAATTTATCCATTGATATTTAAATTATATCAATTTCCTCTTCTATCTAATACACGATCTTTTAATATTTAAAACAATTTTTTTTTTGTTTTTTTTTTCAATAGCGATCAGAATACAGTACAATCCTATGAGCTATTTGGGTTATATCATTCACTCACACACATACACACACCCTTTCAAACACACATAAATTATTGTGATAAATTTTATTATATCAATAGTTGGAGAATCACTCCAATGAGTGATTTACCAATTCTATTCATTTCTACTAGATTTAATGTCGGTTTTGTTATGTCTGACAAATTTTCTCCGAATATCTAACTGTCATTGGTGCCTGTCCTTGTACATAATCCATGTCCATGTCCTTTTAGTAGTTTTCGTAGTATATCATTTTCACTTTTATGACATTTTATACGAACAGGCGTTGTTATAACAACTGCGCCCTGATTGTCCCTTCCAATATAGAACGGCTCGTTTATTGACGACATCAAATTCGACAATAAATTCACCACTGGCGTCTCAACTTTATTAAGCAATAACTTTACACGGTAGTCCAGAGAATATGAAAATGCTATAGATAAAATATACTGTATATAGTACGTTTTGTAGCCCAAAATTTCGAACTATATTTGTGAAAATCGAGTTATTTTCCTAACTAATAAGAATTTTCCTTCAAAACAGATAGTTTTGGAATATGGGAGAAGATTATAAGAAAAAAAAGAGTGCACGTAAGGTTCACACGCAATTGAAGTAAAACTTATTTGCTACTGTACAAGATGACATTTAAGCAAAAATAAATACATCATATAACAATTTTGAATAATGTTTATTAGTAATATGGTAACATACGTGATGCACATATTTATTAGTGTTAACCATTATACACTTATAATGGTTATATATTATATATTTATAATAGCATTAAAAATATGTATGATATTTAAAAACAATAATGTAATTAAAGTCTTACTTCAAATACGACATGATCGGTTTGTCATTGTAATTAGCATTTAGAAATGAACCTTCATTAGAGAAATGAAGTAATTACTGATTAATAATTTCTATAATATTCGTTCACACAGTGGATTATGTTAAACAACGTCTAAACAAATATTGTTTTTTTTTTTTTTTTTTTTTTATTTGGCTTTGCTTACTCTGAGCATTTAGCCACCTACAACATTTATTTACATTCTATACTAATTTTACATCATATTCAATCTATATTCTATTCTTCTTATACTATATACTTTCTTTCAACTTATCTTCTTCACATAAATCCTATTCCTTTTACGTAGTTCAACTTAACTTCATTCTTCCTTATTTTATCTTCTTACTTCTTTCTACTATTTCATTTTTTTATTTTCAATTCTAATTCAATTTTTATACATTCTAATATCTTATACATTCTAATCATTTTTAACATACATCTTACAATTGAAATTCTATACATTCTGATATTTTTTTTACAATTGGAAGCGCCAGGGATCGAACCAACGATCTTCGGCATGTGAGTCGGACATGCTACCTCTGAGCTATGTCCGCCACAAATATTGTTAAAATTGGCAACATACATTCATTGACTGATGGTATTTGTTTACTTTTTTGCTGGCAATATAATCTCATTCTTTGAACAGCTGTAATATCTGTTTTGTCTAAAACATACTTTCCATTTCAATAACTTCAAAGATTTATAGAAACTACGAATAACATAGAAATTATTTCAATAAACTTATGTTTCATGCACGGCGCAAATGCTGCATTTGTTTTATTATTTTCATTATAATTATTTACGGGGGCCAGGGTAAAATATTTATTCATTTTTCATTAAATCAAGATTTGTACTACGATGTAACTTTAAAATGTTTATTTATCAATGCCGATTTATTTGTTGATATCGGTCCGCATACAACGATGATGCCGGTACGCAAACAACGACAGATCTTTATTCACATACGCGGTGACCAATCACAATCGACCCGTATAGAAATGATATCATCGAAAGAGAATAACGAATCATTGGCACTTGACTCTTATCTTATCTCATCTGCCGTAACGCACTTCCGTTGTATTTGTACAGATTTACACCCTAAAGTTTTACTTCAAAAATGAAAATATGTATTAATAGTCTTTCTTCTATTATTATGAAAATTTACTGCTACATGACGAACAATAGTCATATAATGGGTAATAACTGCTCAAGGGCAAGTTTATTAAACTCCAACTTAGGGAAAAATATTATCCCATTGCCATTTCACATCGCAGTGTCCTACAATTGACTATTTTTAATTGGAAACATATTTTTGATCTAAAATATAGATTATGATATAATGCAATACTGATTATTGATATCACTACTGCATGATATCATTATCCAGAGCGATGGTTCGAACTCGCGGCCCTGCCGACACGAGACACTACACTTAACCATTACGCTATGAAGTACGCTAGAGTTATTTAATAGTAAATTAAATTTTAACAAAATATTTTATTTCTTAATCACTTAACTATGATTGAGGAATATATTCGTCATGAAAAATTTGTAAGATTTTGTATATTGACGAGTATTTTCGTCATGCTTTTAAAACAGTAATCATTTGCTGTTTAAATTAAAAATTTGAAAAAAAAAACAAAATATATATTCTGAAATATCAAAATGTTTAGGATGTTTTGAGGTTATGATCGTACAAGTTGTAAGTCTTTATTTACTACTACTTAATTTTACTTTAAGACAAGTTGCTTAAACTTCCTGAAATGTGGAAATAATGTACTTAGTCAATAAGAATTAAGATTTAGCTATTTAAATAACATTTCCTACTGAAAGCAATATGCTTCATAAATCAATTAATTTTCTAGTGTTTATTTTGCAAATAAATTTTTGCTTTTCGTCAAAAACTATGCTTACTTTCTTACATTTACATGTATAAATTCATTCTACTTCTTACATTTCTTTGAATTCAATTTTTTTTAGTTTAATACGCATGGATATGTATATGATTATGTTTGCAATGAAGTAAAATGTAGATAATAATATTTTCCGATTTTATAAAATAAACTCATATTTTTATACGATGACTGACTAGCGCAACTTACTCTGTGATTGACGCATATACACGTCATGAGCTCGATTTGGATGACACAAAACTGTGCGTACTATTTAATAAGTGCACCACAGCTAACTGGTTAGTATAAGTTTTGTTATGCCTGTGGAACAACATATTGAATTCGTATTTTGATAACTGAAGTAATAAAAAAAGAATATAGTATAAATTAATTTTTATCCAAAGTTTGAGAAGCTTGAGATTAGATTATAAACGTAGTTTTGTATTGGACAAAGGTGGTAGAGTATTTTTTCAGTATGTTTTATGAGCTTTCTGTACAGTACCTGCACGGTCGATTAATCTTGGATTGTCGTTTTATAAGTTTTATATCCTTTGGGCTGGGCAGGACCTACTTAAAAAGGAATTCTCTGGGCACCACGTTTATGTCAGCTTTTTCGATCTACGCTTTCTGTTTTGAATCAGCCCTTCGAATAATAAAATTTAGTAACAGTAAAGAATTTTTTCGTCTATTTGAGTAATTTCAATAAAACGTAATTGTTTGTAATGAAAAAGTCATGAATTTAAAAAAAAAAAATATTTTTGAAATTGCATTTTGTTGTTTTCAAGCTAAAACAAAGGATTTCTCAGTGCTAATAATTAGTACAGCAAAAATATGAAAAAATGCAAAAAGTTTTATTTCATTTTTTTGCAATTACAATAGATCACAAATTTTGCTTTACAAACGTTTTGCATCATGAGAGAATATACATAAAAAAATTTAAATTATTTATTATCACTCCTAATTAGCACTTCATAAAGTATTATTTCACAATTTATATAATAATATACTGCAATATTTTCAACCATAAATAACAGGCCTAACTAAATTTTTATATTTCATTTTCAAATCGTCCCAGAATTTCATGCAGACTTCTCCAGGATCAACTTCCAAGGATAATTCTTTATCGATATGTAAATAGTTTAGAGTAGTTTTTGTTACAGGTGGCCAATCCACTGGTAGCAAATCTGACATTTCGGATGTAGGATTTCTAAAATGATTATAAAACTAATTAATTTTATATATAACTATATATAACAAATGTATTCTGAGTGGATAAATAGATATTAATTTGGAAATATGAACAAACAACACTTTTTTCTGCACTAATTTATTAAATAATATATTTCACAAACATTTCGAGACTATGTATCATTGGTGGGGCAGAACGCAGAAGACAGTATATTGAACGACTTGTAACGGATAACACATAATGCTAATTTAGGTTTCCATATTTTAAATTTTAAATTATAACACCCTGAAGATGAGACAAACCTAGTCTAGAAACGTTTGTGAAAATTATTATTTATAAAATTAGTGCAAAAAGAGTGTTGTTTGTTCATATTTCCAAATTAATAACTATATATATTTTTCATTCTGCAGATAAATAATTTTTATCGAGCTATTTTAATCTTAGAATCTGTTCTTTGTATGTACATATAGTGTTTTTCTTACCCTGTTTCAATGAAGTTCTGCAAAATTTTCAACATTCTCTGACGAGTTTTTTCAGCAATCGGATTTGATTTTGGGAAATTAGGTTGATAGAATATATACTCATTATTGTTAGCATGCGCTGACTGATCCAAAAACGTGAAATTGTTTTTAATTTTAAAATCGCTGAACTCATCCAATGTGAACAAATGGTAATATATGGCGTCAGCATTATTCTTTGCCATTAATTTAACTTGGTCTTGAACACCTTTCTTTATCCAAGTGTCACCTTTAATATCTACATATTTTTGGAAGTTCTTTTGAGAATCCGTAGTATTAGCATAATAATAGTCTTTTATCTCTTGTGCGGCTTGCAAAGATAGTTCAGAACTTGTAGGCAAATTATAATCCTTTGGAACATATCTTTCAAAATTGATGTCAATCAGTCCATAAACTCGAGGTTGGGCCACAGCATCCAGCAAACCAACTAATCCTTCTCCATCCGTAATGGAGATCAAGAGTGGTAGATTTTGGAATCTTCCACTCTCGAGTCTCTCCTGAGGTGATTCTGTCAAGAATGCCTCTTGACCTGTGAAATTCTTCTCGGACACAGGTAAGAATACGATGTCACGCATTTGCATATTGAAATCCGCGACGGAAGAATACGGCGGTCTTCCTAGTGCCAAGAGGAGGTCTTGGGCAGAGGCCATTAGGAGGTATTCCAATGCTCTATCGGATGATTGAGTATTTTGACCGAGGATCGAGCATAATTTGAATGCATTCTGAAACCAAGGAGATTATTAATTAAATAGTTACGCAATTATGTTAATTAAAATTAAAGATGATACATGGAACTAATTTAATAAAAATAAAGTCAAGCATGAAACGTTTTACTGCACGAAGATATCCATTAATTTTATAGTGAAGCAATGGAACTACCTCATTTTGAAATGGTTTATTGTGGTGCAAAGAATTTCTTGCATTATTCTCATTTCTCATATAATGTTTAATATCTCATCATGAAACAAAGATAATAACTAAATTTTTCTAATTCTTGTATAGATTTTAACAAAATAATTAATGAATAGATAACATCATTATCGTATATGCATGTATACATATATACATGTATAGTATACATATAGACCATATATCTATTAACCTGATATAATTGTTTCCATATGTATGATAATAGAATTTGTAGTCATCAAGAACATTCTAAAATATTATAGGCCCACAAAATATAAATATTCCTTAAAATTTAGAAAAATAGGCTACGTGAAAGTTTTAAATTTCTATTATAATAATTTTAAAAGTTGTTAAGTCTTAATTCTCATTGACTAAGTTGATTATAAACGCATTTCGAAAAACTTGCCCAAAGACAAAATGCAACCTACACCTGGTTATCAATGTTATTTTTTGTGACATACACACATATATATATATATATATATATATATATATATTTATATTAAAAAATTAAATCTATTTAAAGCAATATTTCATATAGGGTAGAGCGGGGTTTAAGGTAAAAGATCCACCACCAACATCTCAAATATAAGTACATCGAGAAACATTTTAGCAACAACATTTAAATTTTCTTAATCGTTTTTTTGGTTGTAAGTAAAACTGTTTAGTTTACAAGACTTTAATATAATTTTTGAGTATACGTTATTTTCCTAATTTATAACATCCTTACTCTCATTTTGAGTTAGATTCAACAGTTCTTTTATATAATCCTTATAAAACCTTACCTGGGTGTGGAAAGGGCATCAACTTTACTTTTACCATGTCAAAGTTGTAAACAATAAAAAAATTAGATAAAAAATTAAATTAAGTTGAGAAAAGCAATTTTCCAGGAGATAAATATTTATTCTAACTCTGCTGATGAATATTTCTGACGAAATACCTGATGTTATCTCTGTAAAAAAATGTATCCATGAAAATTATATTTTGCGTTGGTCGAATAATGTAGCTATTATTTTACAAAATCCCTTTGAAATTAAAAATAAGATATTGGACCTATTTGCTCCTTGGTCGTCCCATTTTACTTCGTCTATGGTGTAAAAAGGGACAGATTTTGGAAAACAGCAAAAAACAGTGATGAATTTGCTGGTAGTTCTTCTGAACATAGTCAGATAGTTGTTTGTTTGATATGTGTTATTAACTTCCCGTAGAGTAAGTTATAGTAATCGCGAAAAAATCCAAAATGAAATTTTTTATATATCTTTACGTTTCAAAGGTTTCTGAGTATTTTAGCATACTTTAGAAAAAATAGATGTATGTGTGTGCGCGTGTGTGTGTGCGGATACAAATTTTCGACGACGATTTCGACAACACGGATCAACCGATTTGAATAATTTAAAAAAACATTCGATTTGTATTGATAAGGAGACGTGCTGATGCAAAGGCCTAGCCGTTCCGAAGATACGGCTATGTCAGAACGGAGTGTCCGATTTTAATAATTCAAAAAAGATTCTACTTGTATTGACAAGATGAAAAACTCATTAAATTTTTGGAAAAGCAGGTCTATCTCTAAAAACATTTAGTAAAAACTAAATCTATTTTGAGCGAATTGCGCTCTATCTAAAAGATAATATTAAGTGCTGAAACTTTTAGAGAATCGTTTTTTTATCAATTTGGAACCGTTTGAGCCCTTAGGAGCAAGAAAATTCGAAAATGCCCATATTAAGGAGCACCCTAATGTACATAGGCAAGATAGAACTTATATAGCAAAAAGTCGACTCGGAGATTTCTATAAAGCCCTACATCTTATTTTGAAGGTCCTTCCACATTATATATTTGAGATCTGTATGAGATAACAGTCTAAGATATTTAACGGTAAATATCATCTGTTATGTCAAAAATTGGATATTTAAAATCATTATAAAGTTAAAATTGAATTTGATTGTTATTAATTATTGGTTTGCATCACCTTGCCAAATATACAAAAAATAACTTTTTTGACGACACAACGGTTTAAAATAATTTACCAATTAGCAACTTTTGCATTTTTGATGACTCGTTGCCTTGCAGATCATTCCTACCTTTTTAGGGTCCTCGACATATGCCCAAGGTGCCAGTGCACTGCCACTTATTTGATAGCTCCTCTGGAACAGTCCCTTGGTGGTGTCGGTTATTTGTAAATAATTAACGCTCGCGGCGCCAGCTGACATGCCGATCAGTGTGATGTTATCGGGATCACCGCCGAATTTTGCGATGTTTTGTTTAACCCACCGGAGAGCGGCAACCTGCCGATTGAAAAGATATTATGAAAATATTTATTGGCCCAATTTATCTATATCTATAATACTTTTCCTAGCTTATTATAATACTATATTTACCGTCATTCGTAATCTACACTTGAGCAAATTACTAGTGTGACTGACATGTACAAATATAAAAAAAACTAAACTAAATAACAAATAAGAATAAGAAATTAAATCCTAGAAATAAAAGATAAAACTTGTACAACAAATATATTATATACACAGCTAAAAAATAAAACATGTAATATTACAAATAAAAATAATAAAATTTTATCCAACTTAACATCAATATTATGGGATTAATATTTTTTGTGCTAATTATAAAATGATTTGTCTAACCTCGATCTGTAACAAGAAAAATATTAGTATAGTACCATAATTGTTGAGTATTTTCATTTAGAACAATATATGGTGCTACACTATTTTTAAAATGCGATACCTTTTACGTAAAAAATAATATTCTGCAATTGTTGAGTTTATATAATTCCAAGAATAAATTTCAATCCGATTTATAGTTACAAAAATATTTATTAATTATATAAAATAATTAGTTAGAACTAAAATGAAGATTACCCAGTGATGAAGTTTTATTTTTGCTGATTTTATTTTTTAGTTCAGTTTCTATATTTTAAATATTTATGGTACAGAATATTTTGGCGCCGATCTCACTTAAAAACGCTGTTACGTTTTTACATAAGAGGAAATAAACATCACTATCTATCAGTCAGATTCTATTTATTAAGAAATGATATGAAGTCTTCTGGATAACAATAAATATTCAGTTTAATAACGAATCGAGATAATAATATTTGGACACTTGATTATACAATAGAACGATCTAAAGACACATTTGTTTTAAGGGATTATGAGATTAAAAGTTTGTATGGTTTCCAGAAACCTGAATTTGAGTATAAAATGTATGATCTAGCGCTTTTGTTTCAATACCAAAAATACTGGAGTTTTTAAGGTAAATATCGGTATTAATATCCCCGAAAATTTAGACCGTATACAATGACATATAAATGTTATTAATAGCAACTATGAAATTGCTTTTTACATCCACCAAAAACAAACGTTTATAATCTTACAATCAAATGTTATTACAGGGTGATCGGATTTTAACTATATGATAATTTGTGTAAAATAGAATGAAAATATTGAGCTTAATGGCTTAATATAACACGATATTCCTCTGAAAATTTTATTTAAAAAAATGTATGTGTAAAAAAATATTTATATTAAATTATATATCTTTGCAAATTTGTATCTGATATCTGATTTGCAAATGTTGTTTTAAATGATTTTTTTCTGCTGATGTAAATCATCAGCTTTTTATATTGGCTATTGTAATAATATAATTCTACACATTTCGTAATTTTCATCTGAAATTATGTGTTCTTAATTACTTTTTTTTCTTTATTTTGAAAAAATGATTTATGCAAATGAATAACATATTCATATTAACTTCCCGAAGGAGAAGTTTATGTTTTCATCAAAAAATCCGAATCGCTAATTTTATGTTTTCTCGACGTTTCGAGCCATTCTGAATCGAATGAGACCAAATTTGGAAAAAGTATGTGTGTGTGTGTGTGTGTGTGTATGTGTGTGTGTGTGTGTGTGTGAACAGATTTTTTGCCGTAAATCGACGTTTTCTCCAAAACGGTTGGACCGATTTCAAAAATTTAAAAGCCATTTGATGTATCTCGATGAGGACAATCGTCTCTGAGTTTTGTGCGGCGATCGGCCAAGCCGTTTCTTTGTAAATTGCAGAAAAGTGAAAAATTTTTCGTCCACGTTTTAGCCCGCAATTCTGAATCGATTCTGAAAATTCAAAAACCGTTCGATAGATATTGGTTGGGAATCGTGCTGATTAGTTTTTGGTTAAGATCGGCCGGGCCGTTTTCTTGTAATAAAGTTTTTAAAAAAAAAATTTTGACGATTTTTATGATTATTTTTTTGACGAAAGATACCATAGTTTTCTAGGTCATACTAAAATATTACGGCCCTACGACAACTGGTTCAGCTTTAAAAATTAGTCAAAGTTTGCAAAAATCAGTATGGTCTTTTTGGCATTTGTCAAAATTAGACTTTTGATCGACGTTTTCTCAAAAACGCCTGAACCGATTTTAGAAATTTAAAAGCCATTTGATGTATTTCGGTGAGGACTATCGTTTGTCAGTTTTGTGCAACGATCTGCCAAGCCGTTTCTTTGTAATTCGAAAAAACTTTTCGTCCACATTTAAGCTCATCCTACCGAACCGATTTTGAAAAATCAAAAACTGTTCGAAAGATATCATTTGGGAATGATACTGATTAATTTTAGGTGAAAATCTACCGAGCCGTTTTCTTGTAATTAACTGTTGAAAAAAAGTGTTAAATTTTCGTCCACATTTAAGCTCATCCTACCGAACCGATTTTGAAAAATCAAAAACTGTTCGAAAGATATCATTTGGGAATGATACTGATTAATTTTAGGTGAAAATCTACCGAGCCGTTTTCTTGTAATTAACTGTTGAAAAAAAGTGTTAAATTTTCGTCCACATTTAAGCTCATCCTACCGAACCGATTTTGAAAAATCAAAAACTGTTCGAAAGATATCATTTGGGAATGATACTGATTAATTTTAGGTGAAAATCTACCGAGCCGTTTTCTTGTAATTAACTGTTGAAAAAAAGTGTTAAATTTTCGTCCACATTTAAGCTCATCCTACCGAACCGATTTTAAAAAATCAAAAACTGTTCGAAAGATATTAGTTGGGAATGATGCTGATTAATTTTAGGTGAAAATCTACCGAGCCGTTTTCTTGTAATTAACTGTTGAAAAAAAGTGTTAAACTTTCGTCCACATTTAAGCTCATCCTACCGAACCGATTTTAAAAAATCAAAAACTGTTCGAAAGATATTAGTTGGGAATGATGCTGATTAATTTTATGTGAAAATCTACCGAGCCGTTTTCTTGTAATTAACTGTTGAAAAAAAGTGTTAAATTTTCGTCCACATTTAAGCTCATCCTACCGAACCGATTTTGAAAAATCAAAAACTGTTCGAAAGATATCATTTGGGAATGATACTGATTAATTTTAGGTGAAAATCTACCGAGCCGTTTTCTTGTAATTAACTGTTGAAAAAAAAAATTTAATCCTTCTTTCATGGAACTTTTTTTGGCGATATACATCATGGTGTTATAGAACTTACTGTAATATTACGGCCTTACAACAAGTAGTTTAATTTTAAAAATTCGTCAAACTTTGCTAAAATTATTATCGTTTTTTTTAAAGTAGGATTGATGAAGTATATTATTTACACATTTTTTTGATCAAGTCGATTATTTACACATATCGGGAAGTTCATGTAATTTGCCTCAAGGCTAAATACCAAACCAACTAGTTTAATTAATTAATTTTTATGAATATTTGTATGATATTTTTGATATCTCCAAATCAGTAATTGTTAGGCAATATTTAAGTTGTCAGTGAAGCTTACTCTAACGATTAAATATTTGCTATTTTTTTAATGCCTACAAAAGTGTTTTAATTATAGATACTCTTCAAGGATTAGAATAATGAGCCAAATTCAAAATTCTATCGTCATAATTTTAAAAGTTGCAAAATCTTAATTCCTATTGATAAAGTTGATTATAGACGCACATCTAGGAACTTGCCTAAATGCAAAATGCAACTTACTCTTAGTTATCAATGATATTTTATGTGTCATTTATATTTATATTAGTTCTCAAGTACCGTTAAGTTGCCTGTAACATGTACACTAACGAGTAAATGTTTGCTAATTTTCTGTGTAGTGGATAATGGATGTAACAAATTAATTTTTCCTCCGATGTCATATTATTCAGGATAATGCTTAAAAATTGGAATTTATCGATAGCAACTTGCCTGTAGTTGCTAATGGGATAAAACAAAGAATTTTAAGATCTTTCTAACGATGTATAATACTTTATATGTTGTCTTGACAGAAATATCTAAATCGTAAGATTACTAGATCACTAGGACCACTAGATGAACCATCCGTTAGAATAAAAACAAATTAAATTACTAAATTTACCTGATCTTTTAATCCAGCATTTCCCGGTGCATCGGGTATGTCGAGACACAGGAATCCGAAAGGACCTAGCCGGTAATTGAATGTCACTACAACAATATCCTTTTCGACCAACCAATCGGGCCTCATTGTGTCCTTATCGTTTCCGGAACCGGAGTAGAATCCTCCGCCGTGCACGACGAAAACGACCGGCAACTTGTTCGATTGACTTTTTGTAATCTTGGGTGTGTACACGTTCAGGTACAGACAATCTTCACTTCCTGAAATAATAAAAGTTCGAATAAGTTATTTGTGGAGAAATCGATTTTCGGAAATAAAGTAATTTAATTCTGTAAATGACTATAAGAACTGCACACAAATATGCTAAAGAGAAGTTCATGATTTTTTTTAAATTAAATTACTTATATTAATAATATCGTAACTTTTTTAATAATAATTTAAAAAACATCTAAAAGCAAACGTATGCTAATAATCCTATTATCGTCTAGATCTAACTATATCGTTATTATCATCATTATAGAGAAATTATCAGAAATACTCAAATTATAAAGATAATTAAGGGCTATGAAGTAACAAACGCATTTCTATTTTGCAATTTTGTGAACTCATATAGCCAAAGTGCATTTTCAAAGGTTTATTTGCATTTACTAGTAATAGAGATGCAATTGAAATAATAATGGTAAATTTGTAATTTCGATTAAATTTAATAATTAAATATTGTATAATTAAATAATTGATCACGGCTAGAAAATTCTTGATTTATGAATAAACATTTGAATCGGAAATATGAAAAGTATTTTTTTATACCAATAATAATATTTGAAACACAATATTTGGGTCTAATTTCTTCAAATGATTTGAGATACATATACTATATATTATATAGTATAGTGTAAATATTTTCACTGTTTACATTTTTTATATAACGACTACATTTTTTAATAAATTTGTTGATTTACAATTGTCAGCAGTAATAGGGACATTGTATATTATAATGAAATGTTGTGGTTATAAATAATATTAAGAGTTGAAATCGAAAATGCTTAATGATTTCTTAATTGGCATTAGATCTTTTTATTTTTATCATTCATTCTCTTTTGCCATGTCACTATCCTGAAATTTTGTATTTGTATTTCTAATAATTACCATTACAAACAATATTACGTGATATTTGCAAATTCTAATTTTCTACCGCGTTATTAGTCTTTCTTAAATATGTGGGACTTAATTTTTTTTTTATTGACACAAAAAATTAATTTGACCCACTAGATTACAGTGAGTTTTATGCAGTATTACCATAACGTTATTTTGTCGCAGAAGGTATTTTTGGTCAGTTCAATTCATAGTATAGGAGCCAGCATAAATCAATGGATTTTTATTTTTCACTCATAATTCACCTTCGATGATGTATTTATAAAGGCTGCATATTATGAGAAATATGAATTTTTTAACTTTCCAGATGGCAATTTGTAAGAAACGGTGATTCTAAAGAAAAATGGTATAAACACAATTTTGCAGAAAAGTTTATAACAAACACATCTGTCTAATATAGTTACTTGATTTTTCTTATAGTTTTCTGCCTAGTAAACGTATTGCGCTCTTACGAGTTTAATAGATTTTTGTTTCATTCGTGCCAATGTATTTGGCGATTGTCTCACTCTGCCTACTAGTATCATATTGCCAAACTTTTTTCGTTGCCAGACATGCTTAACAACCACAGAAACGTCTGGCAAATTAATTTTATGTTTCTTGACCCTTAATGAACATAATATTAAAATTACAGACGGACTAAAATGATTTGAAATTTAAAAAAAATTAATGAATAAATTGGCGTCTGGCACATATTTGGCAGCGCCCAAAATGTCTGGCAACAAAAATGTGAATCTGGATAACTTCTTCAAGTTATCATATCAAATATCAAGTCAAAAAATGGAAATTGGACTGACTAAAATGCTATAAACTAGTATCATATTGCCAGACATTTTTGCTTGCCAGACATGGTTAACAACCGCAGAAACGTCTGGCAAATTAATTTTACGTGTTTTTACCATTAACGAACATAATACTAAAATTTCAGACGGACTAAAATGATTTGAATTTTTAAAAAAATTAATAAATAAATTGGCGTCTGGCACATATTTAGCAGCGCCCAAAATGTCTGGCAACAAAAAATTTGAGTCTGCTGAACCTATTCGAAGTCAAAAAAACGAAAATTGGGCTGACTAAAATGCTTTCAAAATTTTGAAATCGAGCTGTACAAATTGGCTGCGCACTAATTAACGCAACCACTTCCAGCTGCCAGACGGCCCTTACCCTAACCGAGAGAGCACCAAGGACCACATACCAAAAAACCAGCCTGACTAAAATGCTTGTTTTGAAAACGTTGCTGGCTCCCGTACTATCACCTATTAATTTGTTAGTAGACTAGTAATAGTTGATCGAAATATTTTATTTAAAAAAATATTATCCTTATTCAAAAATAATAATTACCGTAAAAATTGAGAGAAGCATCCATCGTAGGACAATTATTTCCAAACTTTCTTGCATCGCGGACTCCATTCCAGCAAAAATCTAATGGCTCAGGATTCTAAAGATAAAAGTAAAAATATTAATAAAACTGAATAGAGAAATTATTACTTCTTTTAACTAAAAAAGAATTAATAAATGTTAATAAATATATTACGAAATGTTTATTAAATTATGATTTATGTTAGATAACAAAGTTAGAAATCTACCTAAATTAACAAAAACCTTTGCTAAAAATAATTAATACTCTCAATCAAACTTTGGTAACAAGAAATATGATTTTACAAAGAGGCACCTAGTACCGGACATTTCAAAATAACCAGTATTGAACACATAGGTAGCCATCTTCATACTCTGGAGTGTCTGCACATGTGTGTTTGACGAATATTCTTAGATATTGCAAAAAAAATCACTATTCATCCACCCTTTTGGTTGGGCCACACCTATGCTCTCAGCTGGAGCATTCATCATAAGATTTTTATTATTTGACTAGGAAATACAAAATATGGGGGTATGTAGTGACCGTTAGCACTCACACAGAACAAAATTAAATAATTAAAATAAATTACGTCAATTCTCACAAGAAATATCAATATGTTTACTGTCCGGTGCTAAGGGACGACTTAGTGTCCGGTGCTAATGGACAGGCATGTTCGTTCATTTGGTGCCTACTAAAATTGTTTAAAATATCTAATAACATTCTAACATTTTACGGATAACAAGCAAGTACTACTTTTATCATTGAATGCCACCCAAGTATAAATGCATAAATACAGTAGAATTACTTCAATTGATATTTAGGTGACGCCGTGATTTTGCGCCTAAAACAGCAAAGGGTTGATCCCACCGTGGCTGTGTGCGTCACAGGTGAGTCTTGGCGGGTGATTCTGCACCTGAGTGCCCCCCGCGCCCCGTTCAGTTGTATTTTGATATAAAAAGTTTTATACTCGCTTAAATAATACGTGTTAAATAGTGTGTCCGGTATTAGGTGCTGTCCGGCGTTGCGGGACTTTTCCCTACGTATATTATTATGAGGAGATAATGGGCTCTTGGTGCATAAAATTCGTATCATTCAAAATAATTTATTTTCCTAATTTTAAAATTCCATTTTTTTTATTTAATCTTATATATTACAACTTTTAAGCTATTTGCAGTTGTTCAAAGCAGTCAATTTTTTTAAACAAATATCTACAAAATTTAATAACTAACTAAATATTTCTAATTTTTTATAATCCATTTCTCTAATATGCTCATATAAAATTAATATTGTTTTAAAATTATATTAAATCAGTACCTTAAATCGTAAATTTCCAACTGGTGGTTTTGCATATGGGATACCAAGAAAACAATTATATTTTTTCCCGGTGGCTGTAGTTTTCGATTTTCCTTCGAGTTGCCCTTGTTCCACTCTTACCCTTGGACCAGCATTTGCAGACGCAAAAAGCAGTGCACATATTACTAATATAAAATAATTCAAAATCATTTTACACTAAACACTATTTTACACTAAAGACTAACGGAGCCGAATGTTGACGCTTCTTATATAAGTTACCATTAATAATATTATTTTTAATTTGTCATAACATAAACAATCAATTAGTTGTTTTAGCTCTTGCGTATATAAATATATTGTGAAATAGATGATTATTTTTAAACTTTTACTATTTACTTGGCTCGTGAATAGGAAGAAGATACAGATATCACTTACCTTAGTTTCAATTTTTTTCCGAACATACGAAAATTTTAGAACTCTCTTTCGTCAAATTAAATAAAAGCTGACAATATAATTAGGGAAATAAATTTATATAACCATATGTATTGAATTCAAATTTTATTTTGTTTGCGATGTACCATAAAGAAATTGTTATTGAATATTGGCAGGGATATTCCATATTCATTAGGTTTTTGATAAAAATTTGTGAGTGATTTATATATCTAAATTATGATTTATACTAATTTTTGTACAAATGAGTTTCTGCAAGTACTTTTTTGCAAAAAAATGACTAATTTTAGGGCATTTCTGAATTTTTCAAGAAAAAACTACTATTGTGCCAAGTGCAATTCTTTAGAACCAACATGGGAATCATTGGCTTTGTGTTCTAAATATAAGTTAAATTGCTGAAAGCAATATATTATATGAATAAGATTAATATTATTATTATGAATTTAAAAAATATTAGCCTTTCGCAAAATAAACAAATTTATGTAAAATATCATTGAAAATAAAATGGAAATAAATTGGTGTTGCGATTGATTTAATAGCTAATTCCAGAGTTTGAAAAGGAATAAAAGGGCATTAAATGCTAAAGATTTAGAAGCATGACTGAAATGAATACATATTTTAAATAATAAGTTTTTTTTTAACGAATCTATCATTATTATTGATGAAACGATACAAAAATAATTCAGTTTCTAGCAAACTATTCTAATTTACTATACTAACGGGCTGTAAATGAGCGGTCAAAACTCTTTTCTTTTCATTATTTCAATAACGTAAATTAGTTTTTTGTATACAATTGCAAGAAATGATAAATAAAATTAAAAAAAAATGTTTCCATGTATTGAAATTTTATATTGGTCCTCCATTTATTCATTAAAAAACTTCTTTTAAAATATCCATAAAATTACCAATATCAAAATGTCTATTAATCTATCGAAAAATACGAAAAATTCATTGTTTTGAATTTTTTGTAAATTTTTATAATATGCGTAACAATATAAGCTAACACAGCAAATTTTTACATTGTGGTGTTTGTTTATTGTAGCAAAATTATTTTTGCAAATAAAGCAACTATATAAAGTTATATTTCCGTGTGACACATATATAGGAAAAAAATCAATCTTCTTGGAAATGTTTTACTGAATAATTGTAATAATAATTAGCTAACATTAAATCTATTATTACAGACACTATCAATAATTAGAATGTATAGTAGTTATACATTTATTTAATAATTATTTTATTTTATATTCGCAGAATTACATTACATGCATTGATATATTGATGTATATTAAAATTAAACAACTATTTTTACTGATAAATTATTCTAAATCTAAAAAAAATATTATCTTCAAAGTTAAGTCACAACTTAACAATTAGGATCAATTTGTTATAAAATAATAATGCTTTCAATGATAGAAATATTTTCCCTTTATTTTCTATTAATTTACACCATTTTTTTTCAATTTTTTTCTCATATGGTATTAAGAAAACAGCTATTTCTGTATGAGAGATATTTCAAAAGAATCTATTCAGAAGGATAAAGAAACTGATGATGATCAGAAAATTTATAAAAATATTTACAATATGTGTAAAAATGAGAATTGTTTTAAAATGAAAACGAATTTTAAAATGAATCAAAATAAATTATTTACATATTCATTTTATATATCAAAACAAATATTCACTTTTATGAAATCGTAGTATATTTAGGGCATTTAGTTGTGAGCCATATAGTTATAATTTATTAATTACTAACAACTAGTTTAACAATTTGAATATGTTTTCTCTAAATTATTCCAAAACTGCATATGGTCATGTTCAGGATTTAATTGCAAATTTAGACTACTGCTGATATTCATATATATTAGATTTTCACTATCCGTTACTGATAACCATTTAACAGGAATTAATTCAGATGTCTGAGGAGTAGGATTCCTGAAAAAAATACAAAAATAAAATATAAATAGACAACAAATAAATTCATAGTCTCATGAAAATTTTTAAAATCCGAAACCAATTTGCAAATGATACTAAAATCAAGCAAGGTTTCAGTACTATAACTCACCCAGATTTGATAAAATTTTCAACCATACTCAAAACCCTAAGATGAACTAATTTACAATCCACATCTTCTTTAGGAAAATTTTTGCTATAGAAAATGTAGTTTTCATCATTGGCGTGCATTGCCTTTTTAAAATGAGTTGTATTAAGTATTATTTTGAAGTCACTATAACCATCAAAGGTGAAAACGTAATAGTAGACTTCAGCATCTGAATTAGTTGTAAGTAATTGCACAGCTTTATTAACTCCCCTTTTGAACCATGTATCACCTTTTATGTTAATATAATTCATAAAATTACCATCGGTTGACGGTACATTTGGATAATAAAACTGCTTTATCTTATTGGCCACTTGAAGAGATTCATTCGAATTCTTTTTTAAACACAACTCTTTTGGAACATATCTTTCAAAATCTATATTCATCAATCCAAATCCTATGGGATCATTTCTTGCATCTGGCACTCCCAATATACCTTCACCATCACAATAGCCTATATATAAAGGAATTTGTTGGAAATCTCCTGATTGGAATACTTCAAGTGGAGATTTTGTTAAAAACGACTCTTGATTTGGGAATACTTTTTCTTTTGTTGGTAGAAATATCATATTTCTGAGTTGCAAATTTTCATCGGAGGATATTGTAGATATTGGTGGTATACCAGTTGCTAATATTAGATCGGCTGCAGGAATCGTTATTAGAAAATTATAGGCGTCTTTATCATCAGCTGGTTCATGACCTAGTGCTCTACATAACTTATAAGCATTCTGTAAAAGGACAAATAAAAATATTATATTAGAATCTAGGGAATTATAAACGCAATGATCAAAGTAATCCAAAGTATATACAGAACAGAGATATTTAAATTAAAATGCCACTTTTGCATATAATATTTTAATGTATTTTTATTTATTTATAGGTCACTGGAAATGCTTGGACTGGATTGTACCAAACTTTGAGGAGAAAAATGTAATATACCGCAATGAAAAAATTACACAGAAAAGGTAAGAAAACGTCTTAATATTATATAACTCAAACTAAACATATTATTCAAAATATCACTCAAAAGTAAAAAAAATATTTTATTTGCAATTAAAATAATCACACAATTAGTTAGATTCAAGAAAACAAAAATGAACTTGAAAAATCTTGATTATTTTCATCATTGCTTTTATCAGTTTCTGATTTTCTTTAATAATATATTTGATAAACAAAATACCTCTTTTGGATCTTCATGATAAGCCCAAGGGTTCAGTGCGCTTCCACTCATTTGGATAGCTCTATGAAATAATCCTTTGGCGTTATTTGTCAAATATAAATAATTGACACTGACTGCACCAGCAGAAACTCCACTTATCGTCACATTATTTGGATCTCCTCCAAATGATGCTATATTTTCATTCACCCATCGCAAAGCAGCAACCTTAATTGAATTGAGCATTAGAATTGAAAATTAGAAACACTAGGGCCGGTCCTACCTTGAATGCAATGCATGCGAAAAATGCGGGCGCACGTCTTAGGGGGCGCCAAAACGAGATTCGGAAATAAAATTTATTATATATTTTTTTAATTTATTATGTTTGAAGCTACCGTGGAATCGAAAAAGAAATCATCTAGTGTTCAATCCCATAAGCTCAAACCTGCGAAAGATTAAATTAATTGTTGGGCATTCTACGAAAAATAGCGAGCTGATTAAGTTGAACCGGAAATTGTTAAAAAAAGTATGTACAAATTACAACAGAGCAAAATGGAAAATGGGTTGTCAGTGCTTAGAAAATGGCCTAATTATTCCGAGAAATTGAACAGTATTTATTGAATTGAATTTTGAATTTTGAAAGCAGATGTGCTTATAGATTCATGGAAGTGGAGCAAATATGAAAAATGGAAACAAAATTCACTTTGGAACAAAAATCGTTGAGCTTTTTTTATATATAGTGGGGCTCATACTCTAAAATTGATTAATAACTATGCAGAAATAATACAGATACTAATCTTTAAACAATAAAATTTATCTTCAAAACAACAATCTGATGGGAAAGTAAAGATTAATTCACTTCGGCCCTTACGATATGAATAGGGAGAAGTTTACGATGCAATTTTGGATGTTGTAAATATAAAAAATAAATTAAACTAAAATTTAAAAAATCCAACATTTTTTAAAATATAAGGCTAGTCTTTTTACTCTCTTGGCATAATTTTCTCAATAGAATAAATCGCATAGTAAATAAGTAAAATTTTTCAAAACCCCAATACTAGTATTAGACATGCGTTAGGAATACTTGAAAATATAAAAATATTTGATTATGATCAACCCGCGAATCGCCTCATTTTTCTATATAATTTTTTTTTTTTGATTTATTATTCATAGCAAGCTATACAAAGTACATTTGTTACAGTTATATATTAATTGACGGCGTGAGAAGGATCAATATATTTCAATCGCTTTTACATTATATCTAATTTTTGATGTACCTACTAAATCTAAAATGATTAAAAATAATTAAAAAATTTACGTAAATATTTTTATAATTTTAATTATGGGGGGTCTAGAAAAAAAATTGCATGGGGTTGTTGAGAACCCTGTTATTAATTATTATACACTTACGTATATATGGTTAATTCTATTAGTACAGGTTACATTTATGCTATTACGGTTTATTGTATGCAAAAATCTACCAAGATCAACTTTTTCAAGTCACAATTTACTTTGAATTTTCACGGAAAATAGATTTTGGCCTATATTATACATTCCTGTAGATATAAATATTATATTAAAATTTTGAATAAATTTAACCAAAGTATTATTGTTAAGTATTAAGTATATTATTTAATACTTATTATACTCTACTTAGCGATGGCCAGCATCACTTTTAATTTAATATAATTGATATATGACTCTTGCAAACTAAAGAAAACACATTGATAAGTCTCTACCGTCTACGCTCAATATTATTGTTTTCCAACGCTAATGGAACTTTTAATGTAGCTAGTAGAACTTGATCGTTATTTTCTCGTTATTTTCTCGGGTACCTGATCTTTAAGCCCAGCATTTCCAGGTGCTTCTTCAATATCCAAACTCAAAAATCCAAATAAACCTAATCGATAGTTTATGGTCACAACGACGATGTCTCGTTCGACGATCCAATCGGGCGCATTTCTCACAGTATCGCCTGAACCTGCGATTAAGCCGCCACCATGTATGTGAAAGAGAACTGGCAGTTTAGGCTCACAAACATCCGAGGTGCATGGCGTGTAAACATTTAAATATAAACAATCTTCATCACCTATAAAAAAAACCTTTTTTTTTATCTCCCGCAGAAGTTTGTTTTTATATAAAAATTCAATTTGCTAGTTTTATATTTTCTCGACGTTTCGAGCCATTCTGAATCGAATGAGACCAAATTTGAAAAAAAGTATGTCTAAAATCGACGTTTTCTCAAAAACGCCAGAAATCGATGAGAACTATCGTTGTTAGCCGTTTCTCTTTGTAAACAGCAGGAAAGTGAAATTATTTTGTCCACGGTTTAGCTCACAATCGTATATCGATTGTGGTCGGGTATCAATATGATTAGTTTTCGATAAAGATTTGCTGACACAATTTCTTGTAATTAACTGTTGAAAATTTTCGTCGATTTTTATGAGTGTTGGAGATTTGATTTAAAAATATTTGCTTAATTTTTTATTTATTTTCTTTCTTGCTATGCTTTAATGTAATAAAATTAATTAATTAAAGTATATAAGGTAAAATTTAACACATTACTATAGTTTACCTATAACTTTTAAATCGCTTGATTCGACAGATACACATGCGTTTCCGACTTTCGTTGCAATTCGAGTTCTATTCCAACTTTCTGGTGGCAAAGGGCCCTAGAGGAAAAAAAATATGGATTGCTCATCTGTCCAAAGTTAATCTAATTATTGTCCATAATATCTAAATTATAAGAAAAGTTACTACGTTTAATTATTATCATTCAGATACTTTTATCATAAGCAACCAATTATAAATACAATATTTTGACATTACGAACAAATATTTGACACACACTCAGAAGTAAAATTAATATCAATCGAGTCTAAGATAGAAATATATATCCAGGACAATCTCGGATATAAAAGGTGTTTTGGGTACTGGTGACTTCTGAACTCAAAATAAAGTATGATGTTAAGATGTTTTAAAAAAATATGCAGTAAAACCCGAAGAACTATTCAATAAATAAGTAAATTCGATTGACATGTTGAGGCTATTGATTTGAGTGATAAGGGCAAAAGTACATATTACTCTGAAATTTATTTTATAATTACCTGAAAACGAAAACTTCCTACTGGTGGTTTTGCGTAAGGTATACCATGGTAACTATTATACACAAATCCGTTCTCGGTAATAGACTGTTTTCCTTCTAGAAGTCCTTGATTTATTTTCACTTTAGGTCCACATATAACTTCACTCACAATTACTATTGTATATAGAAAAAAATGAACTAATTTGCTCATTTTAAATCAGAATCAACTTATTAAGGAGATCACATCGATACTATTGTGAAATATTTCAAATTAATGAGATATGGGTTTGGTCTCATATTTACTGGTTTACCTTGCTATGGATAAAGGCATATTGAATTATTCAATCACGTGAGAAGACAGAGAGGAATGTATATATATATATATATATATATATATATATATATATATATATATATATATATATATCTGATCTAAAAAATCCTCCAATATTTCCAAGAAAATATTTATTTAATTTTTTACTTATAAATACTGTTTTCATTTCGTCAATACAAGACGTATTCAGAATCTTCAGAATCTTTATTTATATTCTTTATTTATTTGAAAATTTATAGAAATTTACTCTGACCTTTGAATCATTGCAAATATTTTTTTTTTAAATTTAAACAGTATTTATTTTTTTTTTTTTGATCAAACTAATATAAAATGCCATCAAACTTCTTAATATCTTTATATATTTAAACCATATAATACTAATATTTGATTGAATTTAAAATCATTTTATATTTAATTTGAATTCTATATTTAATTATTAAATTATATTATAATAAATTTTATTATTATATTATAATACATATTGATTTTAATATATTTATTAACTGATCAAACTACATTCCTATTTTCTTGGTCAACGCTATTATCGCACAGCCAATCATTATATTTTTCCTTTAAATTATTCCAGAATTCCATATTTTTCTTATAAGGATTTTCAAGAATTTGTAAATCTGAATTGATGTCTAGATAATGCAGTCTACGATTGGTAACAGGTTTCCATGTGATAGGAAGCAATTTTGTCTTTTCTGGTATCGGATTCCTATAAAAGAATTTATAAAAAATTGAACTTCTTGAAATTAATTTATCAAAATTCTAAAATTAGTTTTTTTTTATAATAGTTAGGACTAAATATGTTAAGCTTGTAGGTGGTGGTCTGATTTAAATTCTACATAAAAGCTATTGAAAGTAATAGATGATAATAGTAAGTAGTAGGAAGTAGTTGACCAGAAAAGTAAAAAGAGTGCGTTTTCTGTACTAAACGGAAACACAGATTTTTATGAAACAAAACATCACTTCAAATGAAAAAATATTTAGTCTAAAATTTCTTTAAATATTGTTAAAATTGTGGATTGACCAGAGGCTTCATCAGTATTTAAAAATGATTTTGTGGTTTGATTCTCACCCAGTTTTTGCAAAATCTGTATAAATTTTTACCATCCGTTTCCGCATATTTTCCACACTAGTTATATTCCTAGGCAAATCGACCTCTTGATGTTTGAAAAGATAAAAAAGATCTTGACAATGTGTAGCACCTTCATATTCTGTCTGGGAATTTATTTGCTTAGGAACGCTAAATTCATCAAACGAAAACACATAATAGTAAACAGGTTCCATAGATTTTTGAGCTACTAGTTGTATTGTATCTTTTATTCCAGTATTGAACCAAGTATCACCTTTAATACTAATAAAATCTTCTGTATTATTTATGCTTACTGGACGGTTTGCATAATAAAAATCTCTAATTTCTGAGGCTACAATATCAACAGTTTTATTGTCAAGGCATAGGTCTTCAGGAATATATCTTTCAAAGTTATTATCTGTCAACCCAAATAAAAATGGATCGAGCAGACCATCTATTAAAGCAAATATTCCTTCTTTATTTGTGTAACCAGCCATATAAGGAATATTATGAAATTGACCATTCTTCAATAACGTCATTGGTGATTCATCAAGAAACGGTTCATCTGAGTCGTGAAACCTTTTTTCAATAGTTGGTAAAAATACCAAATCCCTGAAAAACTTATTGTAATCTGCCACTACTGTAGTTGCTGGTGTTTGACCAATGACTTCATAAAGTTTTTTTGGTGGGATTGTTCGCAGAAATTTCAATATTTTTACTTTATCAGTTTCTGTGGAACCAAAGGATCTACTGAGCTTAATTGCATTCTAAAAAAATTGATAAAATTTATTGTTACATAAATTTTCATCAACTTATTAAGGATGTAAATATGTTTCACAAAAATCAACAATAAAATATACAAAATCTTACTTTTTCTCCGTTTAAGATATGAGCCCAAGGATTTAGAGCTGAACCGCTCATTGAAATACCTTTATGGAACAGACCTTTAGACAATTTTGATAAAAGTAAATAATTGACACTAGCACCACCAGCTGATTGCCCGAATACTGTCACATTATCAGGATCTCCTCCAAATGATCTGATATTTTTCTGAACCCATTTTAGAGCAGCGACCTAAAAAAATAATTACAAATATCCTAATAATGTCTCAAAGAAACAAAGTTAGCAAGCATAGTGATATTAGCTAAATTAGATTTTTATATTAGGAAGCAGAAAGTGACTAACCTGATCTTTCAATCCAACATTTCCTGGAGCCTCAGGGATGTTTAAACTAAGAAAACCCATGACTCCGCAGCGGTAATTAATTGTAACCAGGACGACATCTTGTTCGATAAGCCAATCTGGTTCATAACTTACCGATGAACCAGAACCTGATTGAAAGCCTCCGCCGTGAATAAATACCATTACTGGCAATTTAGATTCATCAGCAATATTAGATAGCTTGGGTGTATAAACATTTAAGAAAAGGCAGTCCTCATCACCTGAAATAAAATTCAATTAGTTAATTTATCTGTATACCAGTTTTTTTTTTAAACGTGATCAATATTAACGAATCATCTGAAGTTTTTGCAAAGTCAAATGGTCAACCAAATAACTTTTAAAAAAAATTATAATGAAATGTAAAATTTTTTTTGTAAATAAAATTTGATTTGGGTTCGGTTAAGAGGGCTAATTTGCATTTTACTTAAGTGTTCAATTTGCACTAATATGCAATTATTAATTTTTGCATGTTATGGGCAATTATAAATTCAAGTAAAGATAGTCATTGTTTATTGTTGTGCAATTTAGGTTGATGTTTGCTTGATTTAGTTAAGCTCCACGTCAACTCATTAAATTTGCTTACAAGATTATTTGTGTTCTAAAATTATAAGTGCAAATATTGTAATACTTTGATGAGATAATAGTAATGGTTTGATCGGCCACAATTTCTTACACAAACTATTAATAATGATTAATCATAAGGGTTATAAAGGACAAATTTTCATATTTTCAAATATAGAAAGAATTAATTATATTATTTTAGTTCCTTCATTATTTTTTTATTGTCAATTTACCTGTAAGTTTTCTGCTGTGTATACCGTACTGCATACATATATTTCGTGCTACAGTTGCATTTAGTACACCTTGCCAAGGATCAGGTGGCTGAGGATTCTATGACAATTATATATATATATATATATATATATATATATATACCAGCTGACCCGGCAATCGTTGTTATGCAATAAAAATATTTCTAGTATAAAATTTTTAGTACGAAAATAACTAATGACTGATTCAAATGTGGTGCATAAGTGAAAGGAGTAGCTAACAAAAAATGTATGAATAGTTTACCCACTGCAAAGCACACCACATATGAATTCCCTTATTAGTCTATGCAAGTGCCAACCTAATTTATAATTGATTATATTTAAATTAAATTGCTACATTTAAAGTTTAAAGATTTTTATATATCAATATCGCTTTTTATTCAGTAATTTTGAATTACGAAGCAAAATTCGATCATTGACTTTTAAATAATATTGTTAAGGGGCATGGTCAGCGAATTGATCGAGATTGAAAAAAAAGAGATAGTGGAATAGATTTGTATGATACCAATAGTTTCCTATCGAAAACTCAAATTTTAATGTTTACTCTCCTTATTTTTTTGCAAAAAATTCTCTTCATGCAAACCATTTATCAACTATGTACTGTTTGTGCGCATCGGGTAATATTTGTACACTGGGAAAATGGGAAGAATGGGACAACCTTTGATAAAATTGTTACATATATATATATATATATATATATATATATATATGTATATATATATATATATTTGTATATACATATATTTGTATATATTTCTCGTGTTATCATGTTAGTTACTTCTTTAAAACGGCTTGACTGATTTTTATGTAATTTTATATTCACGTTAAAAAGGACTGAGAATCGGCTAACACTACTTTCCATACCGCTAAATGAGGGTTGGCGATTTCTAAAATTTTAAGTTTTTGTGCCAAATTATTTTATTTTATCATTATGCGTAGTTGAAAAAATACATATGACTCTAAATTTTCACCCCACCACAAATCCTATCATCTAATACTCTTTTTTTATCTTCATGATCTACATTTTTAAATATTTTCTACATATTTTAAATATTTGTATCTGCTTGTGAAATGAATATATTTATATAATATGATTAACTTGTTATTTTGTAAGATTAGTTTTTTTAAAAGCGCTAATTTCAATATTATTCATTTATAATTGTGAACAAACGTTGATAATTGTTATAAGGCCATAAAAGTGAAACAACATAATGATATAATTTTGTTTTTGAATATGTATATATATATTTTTTCAAACCAATTATGCCATATATGTACTAAGTATTAGTTAATATGCAATTAATTGCAATTAGTTACTGTTCAAAATTAAAATGTTTACCACTCGGTAACCTTATAAAATTTTCATCTGTAACTACAATTTAATTTCTGATCTAATTACTGAATCTCCCTTGGAGACTGGTTGTTATTTATATGGTTAAAAAAAACTGGTCAGAAAAATGAAAGAAATTAATAGATCTAAAATATTGAGAAGTAGTAAGAGGACTTCCTATTCAATATATTAAACATACCCGAAATCTTAAATTTCCAATCGGTGGTTTTGCATATGGTATTCCACGAAATGCATAATACGATATATCGTCATCAGTCACTGAAATTTTTCCTTCAAGTACTCCTTGGTCAATTTTAACTAGAGGAGCAGGCAATGCCGACGTTGATTTGAGAAGAATCAATACAGTAAAAATAAATTTAATAATGGTCATTTTAGATATTTATTGTTACACGTATAAATAAAATTGATTTCAAAATTTTTTGTCATTCAAATTTCCCGACAGATGTTAGAGATTTGAAATTCAGTTATAGTTTGGAAGATGTTTACTAATTTGTGCACTAATATGTTTTATGTGATAACGTTTAGAAATAAAACTTTATCTCTCATTATGTACACATTGTGTATCCTGATTTTCCAATGAGATGCAGTTTTGAACTAAAACGCATTTATTTTCATATAGAATGAGACGTTAGCTATTTTGCTAGGCAAAAACAAGGGCTTTATCGGTTAAAAGTAACCAAAGTGAAACCAATGGCTCTCAACCAATGGCATTAATCGTGAAGAAAAAAATTTAAAATTTTAACGCAAACCAATATTGAAAATTTTAATGAAGTTTTATAATTTAATCACTTTTCGTAGATCCATAATATTTTAATATGTTAATTGAGACCATCAAGTTTAGCATAAAAAGTGTCGACAAATTCGTCAAAGAACATATTTGAACTACTCTAAAATTTTGAAAAAAAAGCTTGGCTGATTGTCCCGCAAAAATAAACAACTCACAATCTTATAGAGCTTCATAAAATGGCTTTTAAGTTGTTGAAATATTAAATTTTGATTCACATACATTCACATACTTTTTTCAATTTTAGTGCCAAACAATTCAGAACGACTTTAAATTTCGATAAAATATAAAGATTGCAGATTAGATTTTCTGTCAAGAATATAAATTTCTCCTTCGATAAATTAAAAATAAAACATTTTTTATATAGTTTTAATTCAACTATAAATATATATATATATATATAATTTATATGCATTTCTAAATTTCCGTCATAAATTATTTTTGATATTTCTTTATCTTTATGATAAAGCAAATTTTCTGCATTTAATTATTCAATAAATCAATGCTGAAGGTAACTCATGTCATATTAATTTTAACTAATAGTGTAGATATTGCATTGCGACTAAAAAAATGTATATACAATTTTGTTTGAAATCAAAAAAAAGATATTAGAATCCAACATCGTATTTAATTTAAAAAGAGGTTTAGAAATATTAAACTCCATTTGACAATGATAAACACACATTATATTGAATGTTTTTCTTTAAAAATTAATTGTGTTTATTGAAATTATCAAGTTTTAATTTTTAGCATAGATAAGAAGCATTTGAATAACTATCATAAATTAAATAAAAAAATAACAAATAGATTACCAATTGTATTACTCGATATATAGCGAACTTACTAAATCGAATCGACGTTAAAAATCATCGATCAATAGATCATATTATTTTATACAATTTTTTATTTATTTTTTTTATTTTTTATATGCAAAAATAATATAATTTGCATTAAATTAATAATATAATTTACGAATATAACTAAAGACCCCCAAATTATAAAATGGATTAGTGGTATTTATATCTATTGAAGTACACATGTATAATAAATGCACCATTATAAATAAATAATTATTATATTAATTGTATACAAGTTAAAATGAGATAATATTATTATTTGTACTGGTCTATTAACTCCCTCCAAAAATGCATTGCTTCTTTCTTAGGATTTTCAAGCAGTTTTAATTCTTTGTCTATCTCAAGGTAATATAAATTTTTATCCGTTACTGGTTTCCAAATTACTGACAACGTATTATCAGGGGTAGGATTGCTGCAAAATATATCAATAAGTTATAAATTAATTAAAAAATTATAAATAATAAAATGAAAAGTAAAAAAGTGATATATACTGACCCAGTTTTAGCAAAGTTGACATATAATTTTAATAAAGATTTCCTAGTTTTCTCAATTGATTCCTCATCTCGAGGCAACTCAACTAATTTATGTTTGAATAAATATCCCAAATCCTCTCCATGAGTAGCTCCAGGGTATTCCATATCATGATTAACCAGTTTTGTAACACTGAATTCGTCAAAATTGAACTCATAATAGTACACTGGTTGTTTGGAATTTTTTGAAATTTCTCGAACCATGGTATCGACACCTCGGTTGAACCAAAGATCACTTTTGATATTGACAAAATCATCGATATTGGTCTCATCTGTTTGGCGATTGGAGTAATAAAATTGTTTAATTTTTGCAGCTACTTCAAGGTGGTTATTAAAATCAGGTTTAGAGCTCAATTCCCTAGGAACGTATCTGGTAAAATCTATATCCTTTAAACCAAACAAGACAGGCTCATCTGAAGCATCTCTGAAAACAAATAGTCCTTCTTTACTGGTATATCCAGTCATTAAAGGAACATTTTGAAATTTTCCATTAGCCATTCTGTCTAATGCAGGTTCATCTAAAAGTGATTCTTGTTGGGAAAACTTCTGTTCAACTGATGGTAGAAAAATGATATCTCTGAAAGCAAAACTGTCTTCTTGTGTGACAGTGGTGTTAGGATGTTTTCCAATGGTATTATATAATTTATCTTCGGGCACAAGTCGAAGAAATTCCAATGCTGTTTTGTTATTCTCGGGATTGAATCCTAACGCTCTGCAAAGTTTTAAAGCATTCTGAAAATAGAAGTAAAAATTACTAAACTTGTGATGCAGATCTAGAGTAAATACTTATTTTCGATAAATACAATAGTTCAATACTGATTTTATATAATGCGTAATTTGGGTAAACAATTTGCTAATGAATAAATGATTTTTTTGAATTTCATTTCCTGATCACATAATTTTTTTGTCATCTGTTTTACCTCTTCTGGATTCAATTGATACGCCCAAGGATTTAGAGCCGATCCACTCATTGCTATAGCTTTATGGAACAATCCTTTAGTTGAATCCGATAACATCAAATAATTTACACTTGCTCCACCTGCTGATTGTCCAAATATTGTTACATTGCTTGGATCACCTCCAAATTGACTGATGTTCTGTTGGATCCATTTCAGAGCTGCCACCTATTTTATATAAATATTTATATATTTTGAACTATTAAAAGAATTTCATAGGAAACAAGTTTCAAGATAAATATTGGTCATCAGTCATTGTGGATTTTTTAGATTTATGCATAGGCAACACTATGTTGATGTTTGAGTGAAGCAAAATCAAATCTTTATCCTATAACAAGAGCTGGAGAAGTAACTAGAAAAGCAATGTACACCATCAACAGTATTCTATGAACACATGCTTCCTATTTCAATCTCTTTAAAATAAACTAAAGGAGTGTATTTCTCTCAGAACTTATTTGAAACTTTGGATGTGTTATTGAAAATATAGCATTTCATTCTCACTTGATCTTTCAAGCCAGCATTTCCTGGAGCTTCAGGTAAATTCAAATTTAGGAACCCCATAACTCCACAACGGTAATTGATTGTAACCAAAACAACATTTTGATCAACAAACCAATCAGGACCGTAAATCACAGTATTTCCAGAACCAGCTTGAAAACCTCCTCCATGAATCCACATCATTACTGGCAACTTTTCATCAGCATCCAGTTGGTTATTAGGAAGTTTTGGAGTGTAAACATTCAAAAAGAGACAATCTTCACTGCCTAGAAAATTTTATAGTTGACTTCAAATTTTATTATGACAATCTTGCATTCTTGATACCACTATAAAATGCTAACCTTACTATAGCTCACCAATTAAATTTTTTACACGATTCTATAAATCATTCTTAGAAACCTAACTTTGACATTGATGACAAATTAATCTCATTATCTTTAATTTAATTTTAATTATAATTATTGGCTTTTAAATTATAACTACCCACTTACAGCCCAATGAAAATCATTTTCACTCAAAATTATATATATATATATATATATATATATATATATAAATATATTCTTGTATAATTATTTAAGTACATTAGTACACCTTAACTTTTCTACACATAATTCTCATAAATTAATTTTACACTCTGATATGAAATTAATTAAATACTTATATAAAATAGAGGTATGAAAATGTTAAATATCTTTGTCGATAAGTTGGTATAGGTTCTTTGATAGATTTGTAGATTAAGTTGCAAATTTTAATTGAAGAATCATGCTAAAATCTATAATCATACATTAAATAATAAAGACACGTTTCCGCAAATCCAATTATAATATTTTTTTGATATCAACACAATGCAATAATATTTATTACCTTGATTCTAATTATAATAATTTAAAAATGCTTGAACTTCCAAATTTTCTACTACAAATTTTGAATCAAAATGGACAAGATTTTTAGTAATTTCTTTTACCAATTAATTCATTTTAATTTAGAAACCTTTTCTAAGGTATTAATTTTCTGTTAATCTATAAAAAAATTTCATGAATTTAAAATAAATTATATTACCTGTTAGTTCCCTTGTTAGCAGGTGAAACTGTTTGCACACATTTCCTTCTTCTTTTGCTTCAAATACTCCTTCCCATGGTATTGGTGGTAATGGATTCTTAGAAAATTAAAATAAATGGTAAAAATTTCAGATAAAATGAAAATAAATCTGTCTGAATTATTATATAAATCAATGTTTTCAGTTCACCAATGCTTTAAAGTAAATTCACATGATATAAATTTGGGGTTCTGACCAAAAAAAAAAAAAACAGTCGTATTCAAAAATTATGAAGTATTATATAGTTTCTATAAAAACTGTTATTGGCAATTTATGCAGTAACTTCACTCTCTACTATTTTAGTTTAAGTTTATTTATTTCACATTGTATAAACAATTTTATTAGTTATACATCTTTTATGTAAAGTTTTAAAAGAATACCAACTTGAAATCTTAAGTTTCCAACAGGCGGTGTGGCGTATGGTATTCCTTGAAAGGAATAAAATGTTGTTCCATCTTCTGTAACTGAAGAATATCCTTCCAGCACTCCTTGACATATTTGAACTCGAGGATTTGCTAGGAATAATAACAAATTTATTGAAAAAAAATAAAAAACGTTAAATAAAACTCATCCTTATAATTTTATTAAATCAAAGCAATTATTAACCTTTCTAGTACACACCTCATGCAAGTAACGAGACATATATAAGGGGTCCAGTAGACCCAAGCGATTAAAAAAAACTAATTTTTTGCAATGCGACAGCATACATTTAAGAAAAATAATTAAAAGTCTGAAAAATGAACGGAAACTAGCGACCTTGTAAAAAATGGTGGCATTGGGGTCCAGCAGACCTCAGGCGTAGGAGAATATTATTGATAAACTGTTTACAAGGCCAGATACATATAAAAATATTTAAAAAATTATTTACATATTTATGTTTTTTGACGTACTTTATTTTATTCTGAATTGTTTATTTGTAATATGGGGTGCATATTTTGCATATTTTGACGTTTTTCTTTTCTATAAAAGATAGAAATGATCGATCTGTGATTCTATTAAAATCAACATTCACGTTTTGAAAATTCATTTTCTGAAAATATTTTGAATAAACACTTTGATACAACATTTATAATGATTTTGAATGGTAACGATTGGGCTAGTCATATCTTTTTTTTATCATTTTCAAATGATAGTTAATAACAGTTTTGGATACATTTTTGAAAATTTAAGAATTACTCGTGCTATCTGATTGATTATAGTTTTCAAAAATTATTGACCTTTATCTACAATTATAATACTAAATGCAAACCGATTTCAAAAATGCAAAGCAATACGTCAGCTGTTTCTTTCAAATTAAATGTTGATTTTTGTCAGAATCATGAAATTTAATCCTAAATTAGGAGAAAAACTCGATCACTATTTCTTTTGATGAAATCGATTAATTTTAGGTAACAGTGGTTAAGTATATTCATGCAATTTGACAAAATTCAAAATATCACTTACTCATTTTGTTCTTTTTTTAACGTTATTCAATTACATATATTCACGTTTTTTAACTTTCAAAACCTGACTTTAAATAAATATTTTTTATATTATCACTTTGAATGAACCTTGTACTACAATTAACTAAATACTATAAAAAATCACTCTGAAAAGTATCAGGTAATTATTGCATATGCATGCTTTTTCATACTGATTTCATGAAACAATTATACTTTTAACGACAAAACTTCACTAATATAATAAAATAATTAAATTTCAATGGAAGTCACGTACCTACCAATATTTAAACTAGAAAAACACAGATATGTTCTCATAACGTCCTAATTATTCTAAAAACCAAATAAAATAATCTCTTAAATTACACAGAAACAATTGTTTCTTGACTAAGACTGATAACACAGTTTTGAAAACAAGAGATTTAGTTGTAGATTAATAATGCTTAATAAATGATATGTTTTGTACTTGTGAATGATCTTGTAGATTTAAATTTTTGATATCAAATACTAATTTATTTAATCGCACTGATAGTTCCAAATAATTATATTATATGGCAATCATATGAAATGATACAATTTTAAATTTACCTGCAAACCCGCTAAGCCAAAATACGTAATATTTATGTAATTTTTACGCAAAAAAATGACATACTTATGTCATTTTTACGTAAGATTAATGTAAGATATGTGTCATAATTTCGCCTATTTTAAGTAATGTGAATTACGTAATATGGATTACGAAAATATTTCATAATAATTACGTAATTTTTGAAAAAAAAAATGACGTGGAGGGGTTCTTTTTTACACACATACATAAATATACACAGCATATCTGTATATATGAACACACACATACACACATATGTGTATATATGAACACACGCATACACATATGTGTATATATGAACACACACATTCATGAACATAGAAATGAGTATACACACACAGAATGTACATACATATATAATATATATGTATGTACACACACGCATACATATACACACACACACACACATATATATATATATATATATATATATATATATATATATATATATACACTATCTGAAAAATGAAAGAAAAAGCACATTTATATGGCATGTTTATTTTTTTGGCATATATACACAATTTTAACATTAGAAAATCTATAAAGTAATAAATAATAATTCACAATTTTTATGAAATAATGTAATTACATATGACATATTGATCAACATTTTTTAATGGCAAATGGAAAAATATACAATATGATAAATGATAAGTAAGAGAAATGCTAATTTTAAATTAAACTCGAAATAAAAATCATCGAAGTATCCTTTACAAAGTCTTCATAAGTTCTTTCATTAACTATTTCATGGAAAATATTACGTAATTAGGAACTGTATCTTCTGTTAAAACTAAATGTGGTATAAGTCTATGATGTCTTCTCTACAAAAGCATTCTCGATATCTATTTCATGGCCCATTTGTGATGAAAAAATGCATCTCGGATATAAATTATTAGCTTTCGATTTTTACCTGAAATAAAAAACATGGTAATAATTTCTATTTAACTTTTGATACATATATTTTTTACATACTTACACAAAGCAAATGGTTTTCAAAAGGCCAAGTAATTCTGTTATATATAATTTGTCACTGAATTTATATTAACAATAAAATAGTATTTAGAATATGAATACCGTTACATTTGAAACAAAGTTCTTTATATATCTAATTATTATTAGAAAAAAAATTAATAACACACACGATTAATTTTTAGGTTAATGGAGCGTTTTAGAGTAAAGATTTAAGTAATTCATGTAATTTAAGAGGCTTTAGAATACATTTATAACAAACATATATCTTCACATATTTAACATTTAATTAGCAAATTAAAAATATTGATAAGACACTACAAAACACAAAACTTAATTTAAAACGCATGGCGAATCGTACTCCCATAATCTTTGCCTAGTAGTAGCCGCAGCCAGCGGCCTCGGCACGGCAGTCTCCTTGCAGACATAACGGTATTTATGTCACTTAGCGCCGTTCATTGGTTGACAGCTTCGTTCATGAAACGAAATGTTCCGAAAATTCGCGAGCCATTTTTATTTCGTCTCTATGCAGTTAATGCAGTACGATTACTTTGAAAAAAAGTTTAGAATTTTCAAAATATTTTTTTTTTAAAAAGTCTTTTTTTTCAAAAAAGGTAATTTTTTGTCAAAATTTTATAGTTTCTCAAAAATCTAATTTTTTGAAAATTCGCGAGCCATTTTTATTTCGTCTCTATGCAGTTAATGCAGTACGATTACTTTGAAAAAAAGTTTAGAATTTTCAAAAAAATTTTTTTTTCAAAAGTCTTTTTTTCAAAAAAGGTAATTTTTTGTCAAAATTTTATAGTCTCAAAAATCTAATTTTTTCAAAGTAATTTTATTTCAAAAATGTTAATCTTTTTAAAACAAAATAATTATTAGTACGGGAAGTTCCAACAATTTGCCTAGTTTATGTAATATATATGAAATAAAATCTTCATTTATCTTACGTAATATTTTTTTCAGGAAAATTACGTAATATTTATGTAATTCTTTCGTAATATCTAATTACGTAATGTAGATTACATATTTCTTACATAAAAATTACGTAATATTACGTAACTGGTTTAGTGGGAATATATTTGAGCATTATTTACAACCCAAGTTGCCTCAGTTGAGCATAAAAATATTTGACTTTTTCACAAGCAAATAATTAAAATCAAAATAAATCCTGGAAGATCAGATAAAATATTAAATAATTATTTTGAATAAATTAAATGCTACCATTTTTTATCTTGAAGGATGATAAGATATTATGTTATGTCTATGTTTAAATTATGTGTAAATAGTGATTTTAATATAATAATCTCTTATGTTTACGTCACAAATGCAGCATTGAAATAATTTTTATCAGAGAAACTTACTTTTTTGAGATTAGAAAAAAAAGTCAATTTATACGGACTTGTGTTCCATCTATAACAACCTGACAGTTGAAAAAAATTATAAAACTTTGAATAAAAATACAGAAAATGAGAAATATGTGAAAATGCACCCACAAAAAAAATTTACTATTAGAAAATGTTTGTTATTTTTATTTTTTCTAATAATTTGATGATTTTTTATGGTGTCTTCTCGTTTTATCTTTCATTCAATGTATTCTTTGAATTAATAATTAAATATGTGACAAAAACAAAAATTTCAATTTATAATATATTCAGACATTGGTAATTATATTTATTTCGAAATCTTTTTATTAATAATATATGTATGCCATTTTATAATTTGATTGGAAAAATCAATTTCTAAAAAAGCTTTTTTAGAAACCTTATTTTAAAGATTTTAACGTATACTATGAATTTTTCCGTTCTAATGAATTTAATGAATGAATTGATTTAATGCCATCAATATTAGTTATTTTAACAAAGATTTTACATATCTGATTTATTTTTCCTACTTAATATTCATAAAAAGAGTTGATTGGAATTAATTTATTTAATGATATAATAAACTAACATATTTAAAATCTTTTCAATTAAAAAAATATAGTAATAATTATTCCCTATGGTTCATACCTTTACTCTTTTTTAAAATTAAATAATAATAGCATTTTTGCATCAGTTTGAATTTTTTAAAGTTTATTTCATTGTTTGAAAATTCAAGTCATGTGGATGCTTATAAATAGTAATAAATTATTAACTATTCTTATATAACTATAATTATAAACTAATAGTATTATTATCATAATATTACTCAATTTAAATATTTACAATTATTAATTTGTATTCAACTTTGGAAGACCTACATAGTCTTCATTTTTGAATCATTTCTTAGACCTGCAGCTGAAGATTCCAATCCGTTGGATGTTTTGCCTACATAAACCAACTTAGGCGCAAAATTTTGAATTTTATTTATAATATTATAAGATCTTTTTTAAACTTCTTTTTCTGTATTACAATCTGTCTCATTCACAATCAAGTTCCTCCAGAATGTTAATGATTCAGCTTTTGGATTTGTTTTTAATTCCAGATCTTTTCCTATAGATAAATAATTCGTGGTGTCTTTGGTGACAGGTTGCCAATCAATAGGTAATACTTCTGTTTTATGATATGTGGGATTCCTGAAAAAAAGTATAATATTAATCTTCAGCTTTTCTATATTTTTTTTCAGAAAAAACTTTAGATACTGCTATATTAGTTCTAAGACATATTATTTCTTTAATTTTCCATAAAGGTAATTGCTTTAATATTTTATCATTTACATATCTGATTATTCAATAATGTAATAATAATTTGGTAGAATTCGAAGTTGTGCTATTAATTATTATTTCAAATTTTATTTCTGCCTTTTTGTATCATATGAATGTGGATATCGAAGTTTTATAACCACTGCCTTTAAAACATATTGCTAAAATTTTGTGAAAATCAAAACCTAAACTATTTAAACTTAAAACTATATATCATTTATATATATTAAATGTTAATTTTATGGCTCAATCTAGTTTTGTTGATATTAAATCTACATATGATAGATTCAATTCTATGATCTCTTTAAGAAAAACTTTTCTCCTCTGTTACAAAATACGAGTATACCATTTAAATTGATCATATCTTAAGTATTATTAATTATAATTTATAACTTACCCTGTGTTCACGAAATTAGATATTATTTCCATAAATCTTTGGTGAGTTTTGTTCACATTTTCGTTAACATCTTTGGGAAGAGCAACATTTTTATTCTTGAAGAAAAAGCTGCGATCATCTGCATGGCATGCTCCTTTTATATTTGTATCTCCATAAAAGTCTCTCAATAATCCAAATTCATCAAATGCAAACTCATAATAGTAAATTGGTTGCGATGAATGTTGTGCCAAAAGATTCACCATATTATCAATTCCCCTGATAATCCACGTGTCACCTTTAATTTTCATGAATGTGTTTATGTCGAAATCAGTGCAAACATCTTCTCCGCAATAAAATTTCTTTATCATTTCAGCCACATCATGAAATTTCTCGGTATTTTCTGTCAAGCAAAGTTCTTTTGGCACATACCAACCGAAATCTACGTCTTTGAGTCCATAAGTTACTGGATCTAATTTGGCGTCTTTGTATGCTAAAATTCCTTCGCCATCAGCAAATCCAAATAACATTGGGACGTGTTGGAAGTTTCCTGATTTTATAATATCCTTAACTGGTGATGTAATTATTGATTTTTCACCTGCCAATTCTTTTTCGATACTCGGAACAAATGTAATGTTGCCAATCAAATGATTTTCATCAGCAACAATAGTTGACCAAGGTGGACTTCCTACTGATTGAATGATGTCATCAGCAGAAGCTGATTTTAGGAAGTCCAAAGCATCGTTTGCAGAAGAGGCAATGTGGCCCAAAGCTTCAGAAAGTTTATAGGCATTCTAAAAAATGTATGGAAATGAATGAATAATATGCACATACAATCGAAAGCTTCAGAAAGATTCTTGGCTAGAGTTCGAATTAATATTTTCTAACTTTGATTACGGTTATTTTATCAATTGAATATGTAAATAAATTAGTTTCATATTTACTAAAGTATAAACAAGTTTTTGTTAATCTGGATTTTTCCTGAAAGTAGATACGCTTACAAGTATAGGTACATTATCGATGTTGAAATACTGAAATGTAACTATTTAATATTAGGTTGAAACATCCAATTTTCTTTATTATTCCAGAATTTGAAGTAATAGGTTTTTAAATTGCTTTCAAAGAACATTAATAAACCAAAGTTGTCCAAATCATTTTAACGTTTCCAAAATGATTGTTTATATTTTTTCATGCATAATTTGATCCAGTTCGAAGTTCAATAATATTTTTCTATAGTATGATAATTTGCTATTGTTTAGTATACTGAGAGTTAAATTTTTCTTTTTTTATATACATACACACTATATATATATATATATATATATATATATATATATATATATATATATATACGAGGTCTGTTCAAAAAGTACCCGGAATTACTAATAATTAAATTTCGCGGGTCTGGAGTGTCTGATTGTCAAAATTTTTTTTTATTGTGTTGGTATACATGCCCCTAAAGTATGATAAAATTTTCAGCTATATTCACTGTTTACTTTGTCTGTGGTAGTCGCTAAGGTTCGACGTGTTTTTCTGAGCTCGGCGATTTTTACAATGGAAGAATTGAAAAGTCAAAGAATTTGTATTAAATTTTGCGTAAAAAATGAAATAAAGTGTTGCAAAGTGCAAAAATTCACCAGATATGGCTCCGTGTGACTTTTTCTTATTCCCAAAGTTGAAGAGACCCATGAAAGGACGGCGGTTTTCCTCGATTGAAGAAAATCGCTGAGAGTGCTCAAGGACATATCAAAAAGTGAATATCAAGGGTGCTTCGAAAATTGGAAAAAACGCTGGCATAAGTGTATTATATCTGGGGGGGACTACTTTGAAGGGGACCACATTAATGTAGACGAATAAATAAATATTTTTTTGAAAAAACGAAAATTCCGGGTACTTTTTGAACAGACCTCGTATATATATATATATGTATGTATGTATGTATGTATGTATATATTACCTCTTTAAGTTTTGCCATTCATTGTTTGTCAATTTTAGTGTAATGACATTGTAATAGGTTTTCATTCTATCAAGATCTTGTAGATTTTGGAAAATTTCAAAAATACAATTTAGTTGAATAATATACATCGTTTTTTTAATTTTATTGCTAATCAAAATATACATTATTTTTTAAGACAACATTCTGTTTTTATGCTTTTAAACAGTTTCTCTCCAATATCTCCTTTTTTTTGGCATTTTAGTTAAGATCGTATGGCAATTTTTTTAAATTCTTCGAAGTCTTCGAAATCTTCGAGTAGGAAAATTTTCAATCAATTACTTTAAATATTTGTTTGGGTTTCGGATTTGTTTGGTAATTTTGAAATTATAAAACAAATTAATTTTTCTTTACCTCTTTGGGATTATGGTCAACTGCCCACGGATTGAGAGCGCTTCCTCCTAATATAGCAGCCTTTTGGAATAAATCTTTGGTATTTTCTGACAAAACTAAGTAATTTACACTTGCTGCTCCTGCACTAGATCCAGCTAGAGTTACATTTTTAGGATCACCTCCAAAACCATCTATATTGTCTTGGACCCATTGGAGAGCTGCAACCTAGAGACGAAGGAAAAAAACTTAAGCATCGATCAACTATATAATTTAATATCTATAAGATAATATGACCAATAGGACAAGTTAAAATTGAATTGATTTTGAGACTTCTCAATTTATCTTTTAACAAATATTGGGGTCAATGCTTCAATAAAATAGACCGTAACATAGTATTATTATACCCATTTTGCCAAAAAAATGGCCCCATGATTTATTGATAAGTTAATAATTATATCTATGATTCACTTTAATTGCTTTTTGTTTTGCTCATTATTAAACTTTTCTTTCTCGTTATTAGATATATCATGTATGCTTAGCACATAAACCTTTTTTGAATAAAAATTCTTAATTTTTCACATTTTTGCATATATTATATTAATGCCTATTTTATTTTGTTGGGTACTTTTTCCATAAAATTGATATATTACTAAAACCATAATATAATAATAAAAATTTGATTACTCTTTTAGATCAGATATATAACAAGACTAGTTAGATTTTATCATTGACCCACAATTTTATATTTCAAATCGCAACTGAAAACAATACTATTGAGATATTCGCATGATGTTTAATTTTTACATCTTACATATTCGAAAGTATAAATGGCGTGTTCATTAATCTGGTATTCAATTTATAATTTTAATGCAATTTCTGAGTAGTACCATTTACCATGAAACTAAATACGTTATATAGCAATAATAATGTAATTGGTAAAACCGCCAATTTGAAATAAAATGTTATGAATAGAATTATATACAACAGACAATTCATAGTTTTATTTGAATATATTAGGAGCTTTTACTATCTTTTTTTAAATAAATAGGACAATTTTCTTAAAACCCCTATATTTAACTTGAATTTAAAATATATATATATATATATATATATATATATAATTCGAAGGAAAGACATTTTTTATAACTATTAATTACTTTCAATTTTGAAATGAATTATTAGTTTATTACTAACTTGGTCTTTCAATCCCATATTTCCAGGAGCATCTGCAATTCCCAAGTTGAGGAATCCAAAAGGCCCCAGTCGATAATTTAGGGTCACCACAACCATATTACGAGCAACTAACCAGTCAGGGCCGAAAGTGTCTGAATTTCCAGATCCGCTTAAAAATCCTCCTCCATGAAGCCAAACCATCACTGGTAAGTCAGCCTGAGTTTTCTTGTAAGTTTTAGGCGTGTATACGTTTAAATATAGACAGTCTTCATCGCCTGAAATAAAACTTAATTGTTAGTTTTTACATGTGTTATATTTAACTAGTAATTAATAATTTTCTCCACCTGCAATTTTTTTTTCGCCGGTAGATAGGTCATATTGCTTGCAAATATTGCCCTCGGTAAAGGCTTTACGTACACCAAACCACGATTCTGGTTCTTGAGGTGCCTATAAATATTATTATTATTATTAGAAAAGTTTGTGAATTTTATACACATTTTTATTTTTCGAGACCAGCGGTGTCAAAATTGTTTCAGACGTAGCTAGCATAAACTAGTTCGCTGGCCCGATGAGGTTTCAGTTTTTTTTTCTTTTATTATCTCTTTTATTTACAACTGTCTCGTATTTACAATCGCCTCTGCACATAATCATAAAAATGTGAACAAATACTTCGAATATAGTTAATTAGTCACGACTGGATTGGGCATCTACTGGGTTGCCAACCATTTATAAAAAATACATATAACAACGTCAAATTGTTAATTACTGAATGTCCTAATATGTACAGATTCTAATTCAACCAAAAAAAATATTATGACATCAATTAGATGTTACAATTGTTTAGATGAATTTGGAAAAGAAACAATTGGAATTTTATAATTGCTCTAATAGCTTTGAGTGCTTTTGCGACACATTTTACCTCAAATAAATCATCAAATAATTTTATGTTTTTCAATTTATTTTCCAAAATTAAAATCTAAACCTAAAACATTTTTATTTGATAATCACTTGGATTAATTATTTTGCAAATTAAACTCATATTCAGATGGAAATCCATATACATACATATATTCAAAGATATCATTTACTCTTTACATCATGTGTATTAGGTTTATCCATTTAGCGAACAATACTTTCCATATTTAATGCTGACTGTTATATTAATAATTTACATTAATTAAAGACAATTATCATAATAAATACTTGCATAACACTAGTTAATTAAATTCAAACTGCAATTTTGGAGTCATTAACATTTATTATATAAACGTAATCACCAATGTTAAATAACGTGTGCGTTACGTGAATGAGAAAAAAATTATTTATTTGCTGGTCAAATGTTTGAAATACTCTTAATAGTTATTTTCAGAAAAGTAGTTCAATTTAAGTAATCAATCGTTTAGTCAACACAAGCTCATTGACTCATTCAAATCAGATGCTTATTTTTCTCAAAAACCGCCATGTTTTGCACATTTAGCTCCGTATCTCAGAAACGGCTGGACCTGCCTTTGCCAACAACCAATCACCACTTCTCCCTATCATCAGGAATTAAATGCGTTTTGGATCATTCAAATCAGATGCTACGTTTTCTCAAAAATTCGATTACTATTTTCTGCACTCTGTATCTTCGAAATGGCTAGACTTGTCTTTGCCAAAAACTAATCAGCACATCTTCCTATCAATAGGAATCGAATGTTTTTTGAACCATTTAAATCGGTTGAACCGTGCGCTCGAAAGCGTGGACGAAAAATTGTATCCATACATACACAAACATCCATTTTTTCTGAGGTATGCCAAAATGTTCAGAAACCTTCAGAATATGAAGAAATGTAAAAAATTTTAATTTAGATTTTTGGACGATTACAATAACTTGCCCTACGGAAAGTTAATAATTTAACTTTTTATTAATTTTGAAAAATTTGAATCGAAATTGGGTGAAAAACGTCCACAAAAAGACGATAATGAACCAGTTATTGATCAAGTTACAAATGATTAACAAAATTGTAAAGTGAAAATTGAGGATTGTGTGCATGTATTGTAAAAATAAAAATGAAGTAATTTTATTAAAATTTATATGAACAACAGGCAAGATCTTTTTAAATAGTTCTCTATAAGCTGTTATTTTGATATTTAATAAACTATGTCGTTTCTTCATAGATGGCAACCCAAACATTTGACCCATCTCTATGTGATGAATTTTGATACATATTACAATTTATGTGATACTGATTAGTTTTTTATTGGTGAAGCAATGCCGGGTAAGGGCTTTTCTCGTTTGGAAACATATTGCTATCTAAATTTATAAGTGAAAACTGACGCTACTGCTGCTTGACATCAGGCTACTCCAAGCGTATATCAGAGCCGGGAGCCATTCAAATCCCGTCTTATAAAAATAATTCAAACTATTCATCAAACTTTCATCAAATACTTTCATATATTTACCTTGAACCTCAAATGTCCTAACGGTGCTTTTGCATACGGTATCCCTTTGTAAGCATGGTAACATTGACCATCATCGGTGACGTACTCTTTGCCTCTCAGCATTCCTTGGGTCACTTTTACTAAAGGTTCACATAATACACATTGCAGAATTGCAAAAAATAACACAACTACATATAACTTGTTCATATTGAATACGTTTATCATCATCTCATTACAACTATTACTAATTAATTTATTGAAGTCCTAGACGGATCCGTATTGCTCGATGCATTTACTTCTATGGATTTACTTCGATTCAAACAGATGAGAATGTAAGCGAGGCTTATATATGATAATGTATGGCAGCCATGAATATTTATACGATGGCACGAGCATAGTTCAACGCGATTTGATCATTTGACCAATGCAATAATAATAGTTCCAATTATATACATGAATAAGGAATTATTTCGGTACATATTAGTGATAGTTAATAACCTAAATGCATTAATAATTTAAGTGAAACATAGGGTACGCGGAGCATGGTTCGTGCAAATGTCGATTTATGTAATATCGGAACACAATATATGATTTGGAAATTTTCAATCAGCCAATGGTTTTAGTTCAGCCAAGATAAAAATAAGTTAAATTTTCATTATAATTTTTTATATATCTATTTGTTTGTGTGTGTTTATGCCCTATAAATTTAAAAACCATAATCCAATTCCCGTTAAAGTTTGGAAATCTTTTAGGTATATCTCCGGACAGGTTTTTGTACAATTTTGATTGAAACCACGATTGAAACCACGTGATGTTGACTATTCCAATTTTATTTTTAATTGTTTTGGTCATTTTTTCGTGTATAAAAGCACATAACCCTAAGTTTTCACTCTCGTACCACAAACTCTTATTTCGTATGAATTATTACAGTAATTACATCGTTTTTCATCTCAATTTCTGCCAGTGAAAGTTTGTGACTGAATTTGAGATTTTTTGAGCCTATAGAAAGCTCAATTTTACAAAAAAAAAAATAATTTCAGCAAGAGTTTTCCAACTTTAACTTATTCTTACTGCATTGAATCAATTTTCTTTTTTTTTGAGTGCATTTTGAAAAATGCATGGATGCAACCCTCAATTTTCACCTTCCTGCCACACTTTCCAATTTCATTAAACTTTGTGTTTATATTCTTTATTATTTCTAGAGTAGCATTTTAACTTGTTTCATAAATGGCAAAAATTTAGAACTTAGTTCATGATGTTTTTTATAAGTATTTTAAACTATTATATTACTGAATATCAAGGAACAAGTAAATCAAGAAAATTACATTTAACAAATTTACTAATAGTTTCATCTCTTTATTAAAAGTAGTCATTTGATTTGATAATTAATTTATATATTTTATAATTATATCCCCCGGCATTTTATATTTTCATCTAATTTAATAGATCACTAAATTAAATATGCCAATATTAAAAAAGCTCCCATTCAATGGAGAAAATAATTTCATGTAATAGTGTTCACAAATTATGTGATATAAGAACATGTTTATCGAAAACTTTTATATATTATTTACGAATTTATATCATATGAATTTTTAACTTAATTTATGAATTATCAAAATTCGAAATATTGATTGTTAAAATATTCAAGAAATTTAAAATTGTAATTATAACAACGTAATTATAGCAATTCATTTAAAACTTAATTATGTGAAAGTGAATACATTCTGTTTAGAGAGACTTTAGATGATATTTATTTAAATGATATTAATTAGTTTGGTTTGCTTTAAAAATATAAAATATTCAGTTTTTTTAAATATTTTTGATGTGCTAATAATATGCTAATGTAACGCATCCCATCGAATATAAATATCATCAATTGTACTATAAATAATTTATGAATATATATTTACATATTTGTATTTCTGTATAGAAAACATTTAAATTTGGTTTCAGTTTTTGAATTGAAATAATATAATTAACTATTAAATAAAATTCTTGTCTAGCCTCCTGTTTGTTTAGAAAAATTATTATGCATATCGTTATTATTTGTTTAAAAAAAATAATTTATTTTCTCATTTGACAAATATCATTTTAAACAAAGATACTTGAAAACGAAGATATGCTAAATTGTTATCCTAGTTTTGAGAACTTGAATTTCGTTATAAACATTTAAATTTTAATGATATATTAAAAAGTGGCATACAAAGTAATCACAAAGTATTCCAAAATACAAAAAGGTAATGAAGTGAAATAAAAAATATATTTGACAAAGTATAATGCAGTTTTTTGCATATGATGGGACAATGCAATCTATTGTATGTGTGGTTTAATTTATTTATTATTGCAAGTGGAACGGTATTTTCTGTTCGTTTATATTTAGAATATAAATATTAATGTAATTGTAAAGCAACGCACTTCTAAAATATAAAAGTTTACTATTGAATAATTGTTTTCATAGAGCTGTCTGGACTAATTAAAATTTTTCCATTAGAAGAAAATAGTAGTAGTATAGTAGTTGACTATAATGTCTACTAATATTGCCGCTGGAATTTATATCAATAATTATCTCATAATTATTAAAATATGATTGATTTTTCTTAAATTTATATTTAACTAGAAATTTTTCTATTCGACTGAATCCTATTTTATTGTTTCTTGACGGATCAACTCATTCTGAATCATTTGACATCACAATTATAAATAGTGAGTAAGTAAGTGTTCCATATTTAACCTATCGTCGACGTCCTTTCATAAATGGCTGCACCGATTTTAAAAATTTCAAAAAATTCGATAAAACTAGATAAAAACTCGCATTTATTAGTTTTGTGCTATATCATTCACAGCTTCTTAATAATTACCAGATAAATGATATTAGTAGAAAACGTTGCTGATTAGCTTTTAGTGAAGATCGGCCTGCCATTTACTTTGTAATTAATTGTTCAAAATAAATGAAGATTGATAATTAGGTTTAAAAATAAGGTGCATACTATATTTTTTTCTCGCTGCAGTCACATACATTATTTTATTGTACATACTATTTTATTTAATATTCTACATCATATAAATTTTCATATAGAATAAGGCGGGGTACAAAGGTCCACTTTGACTTTGAAGGTCCACTTTCACTTCATAATTATATTATGAAAACCAAACCAATTACATCACAATAAATATCACATATCAAAGAAACAGCTATCTGACAATGCTCAGTAAAACTCCCAACTAATTCATCATTGTAGAAATGCATTATTTTGCTGTTTTTCAAAAGTTTATAACCTGGTCTTTTTTACCCCATAAGCAAGGTAAAATGGGACGGCTATCTGCCAAACAGATCCAATATCTTATTTTCAATTTCAAAGAGATTTTACTAAATAATTATTTAATTGTTCATACGTCATATAACCTCACATAAAGCTTACATCTGGGCGGGGTAAAAAGAGTCAATTAACATTTACTTTGGCAAAGGTGTAAAAAAAGAAAATAAGTAAAATAAGTTGGATAAAGCAATTTTACAATATATAAATTGAATAAATTTTATCCACTTCTGCCGATAAATGTTTCTGACGAATTACCAGATCAAGGTTAGATACAGTATTATGTACTGATAAAACTTATATTTGCATTAGTGGAATTATGTAGCTATTATAATAGCTACATAATTCCACTAATGCAAAATATAAGTTTTATCAGTACATAATACTGTATCTAACCTTGATCTGGTAATTCGTCAGAAACATTTATCGGCAAGAAGTGGATAAATATTTATTCAATTTATATATTGTAAAATTGCTTTATCCAACTTATTTACTTATTTTCTTTTTTTACACCTTTGCCAAAGTAAATGTTAATTGACTCTTTTTACCCCGCCCAGATGTAAGCTTTATGTGAGGTTATATATGACGTATGAACAATTAAATGACGTATATTTTAAAATAATATTAAGGTTTCGGAAACTAAACAACAGTGCTCACAACCAAAAAACCTAACGACGAAAGAAAATACACATTTCTATTGTTTATCTTCGGATAGCATCGTCGTAAGAATCAAGGTGTTGGTGATTATACATATTTTTCCCTCTACTTGCAAATAGTGTTGTTAAAAATTTTAACTATACTGATTTTTGACCTTTAAGACACGCTCTACCCTATTTCTTATTTACTATAGGTTTTTTATGCACTTTTGTTCAATATTCTCACTACTGCTAGATATCAGGTTGCCTGTAACATATTATTGCTACTAAATAACTCTGCAAACGATTGTATTATAAAATTAAAATTGATATTATATTTTATATTATTATGTACACAATAATTCAACACAATTTCTATACAATTATTTTATACTAAATAAAACAGAAATGAAGTCAATACTCAATATCATTGCACATGCTAAAGACATCATATGGTAAAATATAATTTCTATTTTATTTATATTCTATTCTTTGACACGGTACCTTAATTCTTAATGATTTTCTTTTGATATCAAAGGGGTATACAATTTATTTAAAGATATTTAAGAAGATTAATAAATAAAAGCCTCTTAAGTTGTTTTAATTCGAAATACAATTTCATCACTTTTCAATGAACATAAAGAATGGGTAATAGATGATGAAAGAAACAAGGTTTTTGTAATCCGAAAGGGTGCATTGTCGTGGTATAATTAAAATTTTATGAAATTATTTTGATCATAACCTTGGAAATAATAAGATCATCGCTTAGAAATAAATCTCCTCTTGTATTTTCTGTTTGTTTCTAAACTGATGTATGCATAAAAACACACCCACACACACACACACACACACACACACACACACACACACATGTATATATATAATTGATATTTCCTGGATTTTTAATAAATGATAGGGGTTTCTTTTCCGAACAATTAATCCAATAATAAGTTTTTTTTCTAGATGTTTAATTACGACTTTTCGGAACTAGGTACGTTCCATCATCAGGTTCTCCTGTCAAAAATCATTGTTTCAAATATAGAATAAAAATTGCTTTATCCAACTTATTTTACTTATTTTCTTTTTTTACACCTTTGCCAAAGTAAATGTTATTGACTCTTTTTACCCCGCCCAGATGTAAGCTTTATGTGAGGTTATATATGACGTATGAACAATTAAATGACGTATATTTTAAAATAATATTAAGGTTTCGGAAACTAAACAACAGTGCTCACACAAAAAAACCTAACGACGAAAGAAAATACACATTTCT